ATGCAGAACATAAACACAAAGCAGGATAAATAATGTACAAACCTGTTTGAAATATGAAAAAAAATCTGCAAACACGATTTTATAAAGTACGGAATTTTTTCTACGTGTTTCTACAATTCTTGAATAACGATTGTAATTAAGCACCGTTGCATGTTTACATATTGTCTCTCTTATTTGTCTTTATACTTTTGAAATTAAGTTCTTATTTTTGATAAGATATATTTCAAAATTTATCAAAAATCATTAATTGATGAAATTTTCACCTCACATTTAGTTTTGTCTTTTTCGCGTTATTTCACTTAGAATAACACCGCCTTTACGTATTCCTCATTGATAAATATTTAATAGTGGGCTTTCGTTTAATAGCCTGATGATGGCTTGAGATTATTGTTAATACCAAGGACAAAGCACTTGTTACTCATAAACCGTTTGTCTTGCACACGATTCATGTCACTTTCCTTATCTAAATAACATATTCTTATTCTCTTGATCTGAATTTAAAAGAAGTCACACAATGGCGGAATCCCACTAAATATTGATAATGTTATGTTCCAATAACTGCTGTGTTAATTTAAAAAAAAATTCTTTCATGGGTAAATATTTATCTATTAAGGGTGCTTGTGCACTAAAGGTATCTGTCTGGGTTTCAGTAATATGGTTATAGCATGTAATTACATAATAAGTTCTATGATTTAACCTCTTCCGTAATAATGTTTTCCATATAAGCTCTAAGAGAGATTTTCAAGTGATTAATTCATCAAATATTGATAATTAAAAGCGCTTTTCAGCTAGCATACAATTCACTTTAAGTCCCTCAACAAAAGCAAAGATTGCGTTTAATCGCAATGTTTTGCGCGTAAACACAATTTTACACATTTGAGTTTCAAAGCAAAAATATAATTGCTTAAAAGCAAAAATTATTGCGTTTCAATATTTCGATTTTACGCAATCTATTGCGGTTAAAAGCAAAGATTCTGGCAATTAAACGCAATGTATTTCAGTCGTTTAAATGCATTAATTATTGCTTTAAATACACAAATATTGTTTTCTTTGAACTGGCCTCAACGGGCTTCCGTCTAAAAAGAACAATGTTCAAGACGGACAGACAGACTTCATCTATAGAAAAGGCAGCTTCTTGATTGGGCAGAAAATAAAAGAGTAACATTTTAAATATAAAAGAATATATTTGCTATGAAGTCAAAGAGACACAACTCCTGGTAGGGATGCTTAATAATAATTTCGAAGACTTTTAAAACTAATCTAATACAATTATTTTAACAACACTTTGTTTTGTGAAGAGTTAAGTTTTGGACCACAATATAATTTTTCTCTACCGGTACATTAAATTAAATTCAATGTTGAGTAAATAGTACTAAATACTAGAATTTTTTTAAAATGTAAAAGAAACATGGCAATTATGTTTCTTTTGCATTGAAAAGATACTTTTAATTAATCCCAATCAACTCCAAAATGGCACATAAACAATGATAAAAATTCAGAGGGGCAACACAATCTACATGTATCTTATTGAAACAATTTCTCAAGTTCCAAGTTTATAAACACTTTTTCAAAATATAGATTTGGACTAAATTCAAATTCAACACAATGCACTTGGGGAAGATTTCCAATAAAGAACATTCAAGTGTGTTCAAAAGTTGGGTCCAATTTACTAATTGGTGGTAAAAATGTCTAGGTTTAAATTGGAATATTTTATTCTTTTCAATCTCAATACTGAGGGGTTTAATCCCCAATAACACACAGGCTAACTTCCATGTAGCAGGTGTAGAAATTTTTGAAAAATATATTATGCAATGTTCCTATGAGTCACTTAAATATACCAATATGCAAGGATATTCATTGGTGTACCTTTTAAAAAAAAATTCAATAATTAATTGTGTTCAAAAATTAAACAAGTAAATGCTCTTAGCTGAATTTTGGTTATCTTGAACAAGGACATCTTGAATGCCATCAATATATCCAAGTGATTTGGAAGTCAACAAATTAGTCTTCAAGATTTACCCTTGAAATCTCAAATCTCAGAAAAATATCTCAAAGATGTTCTTGGCCTCATTGAGTTTGAGATAATGACGTTTGACTGAAATTGAAACAAGAGACCCATGGGCCACATCTCTCACCTGAGCACTGTGGCTAGGAAAAAGTAGAAATTGGTTTATTATCGAAAAGTTCAAATCCAAAAATAGTCCTATGACCAATCATGGCTTTGCTATTCTTGAGAAGATGATTTTTAAAGAATTTTCGCATATATTTCTGTGTAAAACTTTGGTCAGCCATTGTGGTCCCGCCCTACCCCCGGGGGTCATGATTTGAACAAACTTGAATCTACACTACCTGAGGATGCTTCCATATAAATATGATCAATTATGGCTTTGTTATTCTTGAGAAGAAGATTTTTAAAGAATTTTCCTATAAATTTCAATGTAAAACTTTGGTCGGCCATTGTGGCCCCGCCCTACCCCCGGGGGTCATGATTTGAACAAATTTGAGTCTACACAACCTGAGGATGCTTCCATATAAATATGAACAATTATGGCTTTGCTATTCTTGAGAAGAAGATTTTAAAAGAATTTTCCTATATATTTCTATGTAAAACTGTGGTCGGCCATTTTGCCCCGCCTTACCCCCGGGGGTCATGATTTGAACAAACTTGAATCTACACTACCTGAGGATGCTTTTATATAAATATGATCAATTATGGCTTTGTTATTCTTGAGATGAAGATTTTTAAAGAATTTTCCTATATATTTCTATGTTAAACTGTGGTTGGCCATTTTGGCCCCGCCCTACCCCCGGGGGTCATGATTTGAATCTACGCTACCTGTGGATGCTTCCATATAAATATGAACAATTGTGGCTTTGTTATTCTTGAGAAGAAGATTTTTAAAGAATTTTCCTATATATTTCCATGTAAAACTTTGGTCGGCCATTGTGGCCCCGCCCTACCCCAGGGGGTCATGATTTGAACAAATTTGAGTCTACACAACCTGAGGATGCTTCCATATAAATATGAACAATTATGGCTTTGCTATTCTGGAGAAGAAGATTTTTAAAGAATTTTCCTATATATTTCTATGTAAAACTTTGGTCGGCCATTGTGGCCCCATCCTACCCCCGGGGGTCATGATTTGAACAAACTTGAATCTACACTACCTGAGGATGCTTCCATATAATTATGAACAATTATGGCTTTGTTATTCTTGAGAAGAAGATTTTTAAAGAATTTTCCTATATATTTCTATGTAAAACTTTGGTCGGCCACTGTGGCCCCACCCTACCCCTGGGGGTCATGATTTGAAGAAACTTGAATCTACACTACCTGAGGATGCTTCCACATAAGTTTCATCTTTCCTTGCACAATGGTTCTTGAGAAGAAGATTTTTAAAACATACCACCAAATTTTCATTAATTCCCAATTATCTCCCCTTGAATGAGGGTGTGGCCCTTCATTTGAACAAACTTGAATCCCCTTCACCCAAGGATGCTTTGTGGCAAGTTTGGTTGAAATTGGCCCAGCGGTTCTTGAGAAGAAGTCGAAAATGTGAAAATTTTGCAGACGGACAGACAGACAGACAGACAGACGGACGACGGACAAAATGTGATCAGAAAAGCTCACTTGAGCTTTCAGCTCAGGTGAGCTAAAAAAAACTGAATTTATATGTCAATGGTCTCAGGGTATATACTAGGGCATAATCTATACTATTTTCTTCGAAAATATGTCATTTAAAAATATGTCATTTAAAATGACATATCTATACTGTATTTGTTTTGTTGCCATTCTTTTATAATGGGCATCCTGTTTTTAAAAAAAATTAACTACCAATAGAAATATAAATCGGCTTTCTCCACCAGCTTAATCAGCTCCTAGCCACTGCTTTTTCTGAGTTTACTTTAAACAAAATTCTGTGTTATTGATCAATGTTTTCCATCAAACTTTAAAAAAAAAAATTGATATACATGTATTTAAATTTTTTTTGAAAGGTATACATTGAAAAAAATATGAAAAGTCCTGGTACAGTAAAAGACACTTGAAACACTGCCAGGAATGGGCCATATCTTAAACATATCTTGTGTATTCTGAAAGCATTACAAAATGTTTAAAACCCACTGGGAATGAAAATCACTGCTATAAGCATCAATTTAGTATGAGCATGTTTGCTATAAGTGTGTTTTACTGTAGAAGGATATGGAGGCAATGAACAGTATTTAATCTCAAAGTCCATAAAACAATACAAATTAGGAGCTCCGAAACATCAGAGGTGGGATTAGGATCAGGTGCCATGGAGAAGTGAGCTTCCCCTGCTGATCGGTCACACCCGTCATGTGCTCCTTGTCATGATCAGGAAATAACGGAAAAATATGTCGTCAATTCAGTGTATAAATAATGGACTAACAATTAGTATGAAAAATATCAGTCAGCATTTGACTCAATGATAAATTGTATTTGCTAACAAGGTCATTGTATCTACCATAGAACTTACGAAATGATGACTTTAAACGAGACTGCTGATATTCTTGCTTCATCAACTTGCTTGTCAGTAATCTACCTCGTTTTTTCAAATTGTTCATACGTAGAGCATGCTCTTGCATATCGAATCAACCGAGATATATATACTCCTTATGCAGGTGATGAAGGTATATTACTATATAAGTAAGGGAAGTTGACGATAGAAAAGTTAAGTCATCACGTTTATCACATAGCTTGGTTGTCAGATTTTCCTGTAGCTAATTAACAAGATAGTGATTAGTCCCATGCAATGGAGCGGAGGTACATATGCATAGTAAAACAATCATAGTGATAGCAATCAAATTCACATTTAAAATGAACTGATAAATAATTGATGTTTGCAGGAAGGTGATTTTCATTCCCAGTCACTTCATAATATTAGTGAAAGGGCAGCATTTTGATAAACAAATTTGAGACTCCACCAGCTATTTCATCTTAATCTTCTAAATCTTCAAACAAAATCACAAAAAAACCCAGAAACTTTTAAAAGAAATATTTTTATATTAATGTGTTGTTTTTTTCAAATTTCACAAACAATAATATCACAATCATACATGTGACTTCATTTTCTGAGAGTTTTGTTGATTCTTAACATCACATCACATCACATATAAACCAGTAGTCCGTATTGTCCCTAGATTTCCTACAGTTATTCCTATTATTCATCATCTTCACCACCGCCGGCACCCTCAGGATAAATCTTCCTCAAATCTTCATACCGCCTCTGTAAATAATAAAATAATGGCATCAATTCATTAATCTAGTACATGTATGTCATAGATCTGGTTATAGGAAATAAACATGATGGATAATAAATTCTTTCTGGATAAACCATATTCCTGTAGATCATAAAAATATTGCAATATCTTATTTTCATGATAATTATAGTAACATTGAATAAAAGGCGAGAAAATTTTTTCACAAAATCTGTTTTTTGTTCTACACAATCTTTAAGAATACAATCATAAGAGAACTTCATTTTCATGAGCAGAGTCTTTGAGTAACTTAATGAAAATAAAAATTCTCATAAATAAATTAAAGTGATTTACAGTAAATAGTTTGTTATAAAAGTCATGAATGAAAATAGTAACAAATGTATTATCTCTTGTCTTGACATTGACAATCAGACAACTACACTGTTCGGACTCAGCTTTTATTAGCTGCAGATCTGTAGCTCTCCAAAAAAAATATATTGATAGACCGGAGAGCTACAGTGCCACCCATTGAAAAAATTGTATATTTATTGCGCACAAAAAAGTGCGCTCGGTTCTCGATTTATTTCTCCATGTTTTTCAAACTGTAATCTCAAAATATTACTAACCGTGTGTTCCTAACATGTTCTTTCGCTTTTTCCACAACCAAACATTCCTCATAATTGTTGTTAATAGTCCCCCTGACCCCGATATTGTAATCATCGAACATTTCGCTTATTTATACTGCCATTTTGGTTTCAAAGATAATTCGGTCCAATATGCTTCGTTCGGATGACAACTAGGAGAGTACTTGATAGAAGATAAAAGAATTTTTTGAAATCTTTCCTTATTTGAAATTGAGGTAAGAATTTGGAAGAATTAATTAAGAACCGAGCGCACTTTTTTGTGCGCAATAAATATACAGTTTTTTCAATGGGTGGCACTGTAGCTCTCCGGTCTATCAATATATTTTTTTCGGAGAGCTACAGATCTGCAGCTAAGCTTTCATTTGCCAACTAAGTCTCCCTCCGATTGAGGTTTATTCTCCAACAATTCCTTTGATTTGTGAATTATTTCTTAAATAAATGTCTTCTATTTTTTATTCAGATTTGTTATCATACATTATTTCATCAGGAAAATTTTACCACGGAACCAGGCGCGGATCCAGGAATTGAAGTTAGAGGGGGCGCCAAAAGTAGGCAAGGGGTCTGGGGGCCGCCTTGAGGGTTCTAGAGATTTTGTAGGGTAAAAATTAGGTTTACCAAGTAGATATATTTACATTTTCTAGACGAAACTGTGATTTACGTTAACTCTGACAATTTTAAGGGGGGCGTGCGCCGGGTGCGCCCCCCCTTAAATCCGCCACTGGGAACTATACTAATTTTTTCTGTCTTTCTTCTCAGGAGTTCAAAAATTATTAATTAAAGAACTTTAAATCAACTTCTTTGTATTTCTATTTAAGTTGGTATATTGGGGCCAAATATCTTTATTACATTTTTTAATATATTCGATCAGTGCATACTATTTATGCAAGATATATTACTGTATTCAGCGGCGGCTCACACAAATTGGTCCGACCAAAATAGATCCATCATGATAAGTAGATACAACATTATTGTTCATGATAAGAGTAAAGTTGTGTATGTCATACGTTAAAGAAATCAAAAATAACGTCAAAATATTATTAGAAAGTCACTTTCCCCCCGAAATGCAAATAAAAAATATCAATATTCCTACGCTCGCTCCCTCCTCAGCCTTTTTTTTTTTTTTTTACATGTTTGATAACAGAGAATATTTAGGTCATTCTTCGATTCATATCTTTTCACCGATGAATTGATAATACTATATCAACAATTGTATTAAGTACATGTTTATAGTCCGTTAATTATCATACAATTTCTTCTTAAAGAAAAAATTAATCATTCTGTGTGTGTGTATTATTAAATGACGGAATTTTCAATCCCTGGCCGGATTCTGCTCGTGTGTACACTTTGTAAACTGTAGGGTATGTGTGGCAAAACGAGAACTGGGTTGGAGATTCGGGTTCGTGTTGAAGTTCAGCATACCATTTTATATAGAACTTGAATAATGTAAGTAATTTCTGCGACGAATACATTAGTATATTTCAGTAATTTTCAAAACAAAAAAGATTCTCAGTTTAGAATTTTCCAACCCGGTCCTGATTTTCCTAACCCGGCCATTTTAAACACAAGTTGTTGCAGATGCAAATGTTAGAACAAACTATATATAGTTCAACAGGGATTGTATAATTTTTATTAATCAGAATTCGTATTCATATGATCTAATTAAGAAAAGAAAAGTTTTGTCTGCCATCGTAACTTCTCGGCATCACAAAACGTGTTTCTCCGAGCTCGCTGGATGCGTTTGACAGCTCCATCGCACGTGTGTAGACCAAGGCTAATGTTGGTCTTGCGGACACAGGTACATGTAGGCCTATGTGTACTGTTTGTTAGGAGACTGGGTCATATATGGCAAGAAATTGGTACTGCGTTTTTAGGTGATACTTTTGTACCCTAGGGTACACCTCTATTTATCCTTTACTAATAAGGTTACAATTAGGGTACAGTACAAAACCATTGGAAAATGAAAGTAGAAAATTTCTGAAGGACTGTCAATGTATCCGGGTTACAATGGGTACAGTGGTTACTTATTAACATGATTAACAGTAATACACCTTTTTTACTTTTATCCTAAAACTATTTGATTTTTGAATTTAAACAGGGTGCAGAGGGAACTATGCCTACAAAATCACAACAATTGACATATTTTCATAACTTAAAATGTTTAATTCATATTAGCATGATCATGACCTATGGCTTCAAAGGTCTACATTACAAAAAACAACCACACTCATGTAAGTATTTAAGAGGGTAAAAGTCAGCTTCTTACCTTTATATATGATTATAATAGTCCTGATTCTTGAAGTTAATTAGCTACACTGATAATTATATTCCAGACTTGAGCATTGCATGACACACCTGATACTGTATACCTATCGCAAATGATTTACCTGTACCCCCACTCTGTCTGACAAACACAAACTCTACTAACAGTACCTGATGGTGTGTACTACACACAAACTGATCAAATCATTGTGATCATGTAGGATTGGGTGATCATTTACTTCCATTTCAGGCCAGACTAATTTAAATTACCCTATACACTGTATTTATCTTATCCAATTCAATTTTGATTAGTAAATTAAAGTTTTATAGTAATTTCTAAACAAGTTGATCTAAACTTTATTGATATATTTGTAAATAGTACTAGTACTTTGAACAGATCATTTAGTAACCTTTTTTAACAAAAGTATATAGGTCCCTGCTATCATGGGCTGGTAGATTGAGATTTTTACCAGCATAGAGATTTTTTTTTTTATTTAAGCCCCTCCCATCACCATGAATATAATATATGTCACTTGTTCTGATAAAAATCTGCATTGCAAAACTCAGATGCTTTAAAATTTGTATTAAGAATTTTTATCCAATTAATTATATTATTTCCAAAACTAACATAGTTCAATACTTTATAAATAAAAGACCATGAACAATGAAATTGAATCAAAAGCTTTTTCAAAATCGATTAAAACCAATAATCCTGGTATATTTTTAGCTTCTGTATATGCCATTTAATCATAAATAAATCTGGTGTTTTCACCAAGATATCTTCCTTTTAGGAATTCAGTTTGAGTGTTATTCTGTAATTTAGTAGAGTTATGGTTACAAATTTTCAAAAATTGTCTTGGTTTATTCCCATTGGGTATACATGAATTAAATTATTCCTAGTCTTTGTGAAATAGGAATTTCTTTTCTTTTTTTGACGATATACAATTTATAGCTCGCATAATGTACGTAGACTTTAAGATCACTCCAGATAAATAAACAAAAATTCAGTTGTGAAACCATCACTTCCAGGAGATTTATCATTCTTCATATTTTTTACAACTTGTAAAACTTCATTTTCTTCAATATCTTTTTCTTAATCAAAGAGGTGATTTTATCTAATTTTGGAATTTCATTTGAGTTAATAATTTCTTCTAAATCAATATCAATCAGTTCATAATCTGTATTAGAATATAAATCTTAAATTGATAAAACTTTTTGACTTGGTTCAAAATTTCTGATTGATCATATATAAGGTGACTTTTTTTTTTTTATTTCTTGGTTTACGGATCCGCCGACCTCATTTTTTTTAAGTCTCCTGAATTGATCGAGTACTTTCGATTAGAGGAAATTATTTTTCTTTTCTTTTTTTTTTTTAAATTAAACTAAATTCTAGATCAGGTTTGGCATAGGACATTTATATGTTCTTTCAATGTAGCTCTAAAATATGGCAGTATAATACACGTACCCCGGTAATACATGTATATATAAATCTGTGAAAATTTTGATAATCTAATTTTAAGGCTCTGGCCTCAGAAGGTACGTAAACATTGGGTTTGGGAAATGTTTTGCATGAACACAAAGAAATTTTGACAATAAATATTACATTTAAAAAGAAAAAAATAAAGTTAACAAATAAGATTACTTTTATAAATAAAGTTCATCTACTTTTTGGGGATTACTTTAGGATATGAGCTAATTTTATATTTACAGCAAATAATGACATATAGAGGCAGTTTTGCAAAAAGGAAAATTAATGAAATATGTTGTGGAGGGTGGGGGTCAATTGAAATGCTATTGTATGTGTACTGTGTAAATCAGATCAATGGAATCTGAGGAAGATCAGGTGATCATCCACCTGGTATACACATACCTATGAAATCACCTGTTTATTGTTCTTCTGGCCAGGTGTCGAACTGTAAAACCTTCCAATTCGCATAGAATATACAAGAAATATACAGTTCTTTTTTCATGTTCAGGAAAGGTGTGAAAAGTACAACTTTCAATTTGCAATGAGGTAAACTTGTTTGGAGGAGCTAGGTTTCACAATTATTTTGAACCAGATTTTGGTCTACATTGCATGTACATATTTTTCACCATTTCCCCCCTTGGAATAAAGGTTTTGAATA